CCCCGCCGCCCTCGCCCCAGCAGACCTAAGGGCAGCACTGGCGCACCGCGCCTTGGCGCTCCCAGCCCTTCTCCCTGGGGTCTCGGCGACACGGTTTGCCCCGGGAGCTGCTGCTCCATTGCCAGTGTTTGTACGCACTTTAGAAGTAGCGCATGGAAATTACCCAAATTAAAAGAGGATAACGGATTTTTTTTTTTTTGTATCTACAGGCATTTTTTTTTGTTGCAGCTGAACACTGATTTAAAAAGAGCAACAGTCGCTTGCACTTAATGCATTTATATGTTTACACGTGTCTTTATATAACACATTATGTCAGTGAAGTTTGAGACACCCCATGCTAGACAGAGTGAAGAAAATCGAAATAAGCAGAGCGTTTTCAGTTCTTACTCTGTGTGCAAACAATGTAAAATGACACATGCGTACCCTTTGAGCATGTTGCTAACTGCGACAATTAAAATTGCACTGTTTGAGTACTTCTGCAGCCTTTGCATGGTATCCAGTACATCCTTGGGGTTATCATTTCCACCTGTAGCAAGAATCCTGGTCTTTTCTGTTGCATGCGTTTTTTCTTGACATTTTCTAGTTAACACAGTCGTCTCCTTTCTCTCTTCCTCTGGACGTATAAAGATATTATTATGGTCTACAAAAAGCGTTACTTAAATAATCTTTGTGGTTAAGTTAGATCATAACTTTCTTTTTGGCATTATCTCCCAGTGCTTAGTCAAGTTGTGAGAGTGTCTCTATCAAAACAAAAAAAGCATCCAATTTCACCTGTCTGAGGTCAGTAGGACTCGATACTCAATGCTGCAATTTTTAGTCCTTCGTGCAAGGTTGTTGTGATGTGTTGCAGGTAATTTGTATAAAGAAAAATATTTTAATGTTGACATTAGCTACATCAGAAAGCAAATTTGCTGCAGTGACTCCATCAATTAAAAAAAATACTTGCCTACAGTAACATGACCTTGCAAATGACATCGATAGTTAATATGATCGTTAGTCATTAACAGTAGTATTATATTCAAAAATGTAAATTTTTTGCCAGAATCAACATATTTCCTGCTTTGCACATTTTATTCTTCAGTGTTTTCACATCTTTTATAAAGTGATCAATTCATTTTCATCCTTTAAATTCATACAGAGTTATTTTTATTGTGCTTAGTTTGGTCAAATGGACTTGAGGAAAATGAGATTTTTTTCTTCTTTGAGCAACTTACCTCTATTTCTAGAACAACAGAATGCAAAGTATAGAAGTTTGATGAAAGTGCTTTCTATACTCTACTCATTCAAATATGCCAAAAATCAGGGGGGAAAATCTCCTACTCATCCCATAAGTTAAATGGAAGATTTTTCATATAACAGAGACTTGATAAGGAATACGTCTTGTTAATACATTTTTGTTTTCTTCTAGATTTGTCGGCATTAACGCATCTGACATAAACTACTCAGCTGGTCGATATGACCCGTCGGTTAAACCTCCATTTGATATAGGTTTTGAAGGTGTTGGTGATGTGGTAGCTTTAGGACTCAGTGCTAGTGCTGATTATACAGTAGGTCAAGCTGTGGCTTACGTGAAAGCTGGTTCCTTTGCTGAATATACAGTCGTGCCTGCCAAACAAGCAGTTCCTCTACCCTCTGTGAAACCCGAGTTTCTTTCTTTAATGGTAAGTGGCACTACCGCATACATCAGTTTGAAAGAGCTTGGAGAGCTGTCTGAAGGCAAGAAGGTCCTGGTGACAGCGGCGGCTGGAGGAACAGGCCAGTTTGCTGTGCAGCTTGCAAAGAAGGCAAAATGCCATGTAATTGGAACCTGCTCCAGTGATGAAAAGGGTGGTTTTCTGAAATCCATTGGCTGTGACCATACGATCAACTATAAAACTGAAAACGTTGAATCTGTTCTTAGGAGAGACTACCCAGAAGGTGTGGATGTAGTGTATGAATCTGTTGGTGGAAAGATGTTTGACTTGGCAGTTAACTGCTTGGCTACCAAAGGGTGCCTGATAGTTATTGGGTTTATCACTGGCTACCAAAACCCTACTGGCCTTCAGCCTATTAAAGCAGAATTACTGCCAGCAAAACTATTGAGGAAGTCTGCCAGCATCCGAGGTTTCTTCTTGAACCATTACTTTTCTGAATACAAAATGGCTCTGAAGCACTTGCTTGAGATGTATGAAAGAGGAGAACTGGTGTGTGAGGTGGACTTTGGAGACATGTCTCCAGAGGGCAAGTTCACTGGCTTGGAGTCTGTATTCCGTGCTGTAGATTACATGTACATGGGAAAAAACATTGGAAAAATTGTAGTTGAATTACCTCACTCTGTCAACAGTAAGCTGTAAAAACAGAACAATGATATAAATCAGAAGAGAGAAAATGGGCACTTTATACCTCAGAATTACTAGAAACAATTTCTTTTCTTAAACTTAGTAATGGATATTATATTAAAAAACAGCATTAAGGTGTTAATAAAAAGTTTTGATTTTTTTTTTCCTAAAAGTGCTTAAATCCGTGGCTGTGACATGGACTTAAATGGGCCTGTGTTTGATTCTGTCGCTTAGGCTAGCATGAGACAAGGACATTGTTCTTGTCAGAGTAAGTCTTGATGCAGAGGCTGATTTAATCTGTCAGATTTAAAAATCAAATTGTTAGAGCAAGACTAAGGAGAAAGAGTCATATCTTATGTTTGCTTTATTAATCTCCTGACATTTCTGGAAAAACTCTCTTGATTTTATGTCACAGCCACAATAGTCCTAATTCAGTTGCATCATGGATCTTAGTAAAGTTTCTTGACTAGTTACACAGGGAAAAAAAAATTGCTTCAATTCTAACACAGCGGTAATATTAAGAAAAGCAATTTGCCTTTTTTTTAAATTGCATAGTTCATAACTATATATTAATTGTGCCTTTTTCTTTTAAATCTTTAACTACAAGTTGTGAAGTTACCTTATTTTCTTGCGTTTTCATTTACTACCATTGCTGTTTACTGTTTACTCTCCCCTTTAGTCAGTATTACGGGATTATTGGACTGAGGGTTTGAGCTACGTTCACGTGTATTCAGGTCCTGTATGTTTATTGAACATTTAATAAAGTGAAGAAAGCTATTTAAATGTTTGTGGCATTTATTCATATTGATGTAGTTCTTGCTGACTAGCTCCTTTGTAGGTGTGCTCTATATTTTAAAGTTCTTTGACCAATGATTCTTGATGTGACTTCCCGTAATCAAGCTGCTGCTTCTACTGTTACTGAACATTGCTTCTACAGAAGCTCTTTTAGAAAAAAACAGCAAGACTGTTTTCAATCTAGAGTCACAGTACCCCATACATATAACGTAGCTCAGGAACAGATTATCTAGTGCGTGCAGTTAAAAGGTTTTGTAAAGTTTTGAAAATTAATTCTCACTTAACAGAAACTATTAACAATACATACAGTGGGAATTCCAGCTAGAAGTGTAATATTTTCCAGATCAGTAAAATATTTTGAACTATGCTTGCTCTACATCTTATTCCATAGCAGAACTTTAAGCTCCGAGAAGCTGATTCTGCTGCATCTTTAGAAATTATACACGTTTTTATGCAGTTTGAGAGAGGAAATTTCACAGGATCATACACCTAATAATAAACTTAATGATAGACTGATAGTGTCTAGGGGTTAAAGGAAAAAAAAAACAGGGTAAACTTAAGTTTTGGACATTATTCAAGACTGACTGTACAATAAAAATTGTTAAAAGCAACATGTAACGTTTAAATTTTATTCATAGTACAGGCAGTGGAGAAAAGTATTTTAAGTTTTAATTTAGTGCGTTCTCACTGTAATTTTCTAGTGCATATGTCACTGAAACCAGAAGAATAGCATTCAACCAAGAACTGTCTCTCTGCCATATCTTTCTCCTGGTTTTAGTCCCACTTTGGAGGTTTTTGGCGAAAGGCAGAACGGCTTGAGTTTTTGTTCCCGCTTCTCTTTTACTCAGGCTGAGCATCAAGCCACTATGATTTTTTTTTCTCCACCAAGGCCTACTGTTTCTCTTTCCCCTATACTATTACAAAGGTTGTGGAGTTGTGTATGTTTTGGATAATTAGACCAGGAGTTTTGGCAGGCCAACTGAATGCTAAAAAGATGCAAGAGCTCAAGCACCACACAGGGTCGGAGCATTCAAAGTTCTAACTATTTTATTCCTAGGCGCATGGTTCATTTTCTTCTTCAAAGAAAAGGGTGTACCCTCCGTCACTAAATGCATCTGGTCAGTTTGGGATGCAGTAAAACAACAACTACAAAAAGCCCGATCAGTTGGATCTGTGATAGGCACAGAAGGATTGCACGGGGAACAATTCCACAAATTAAATTCCTCATGTCAAACGCCAAAATCCATGCAAGTGGCCTGATTTTCAGAGGTGCTGATTGCTCTCCGTCTGCTAGAGTTAGGTATTTCCGAGGCAGTGCGTTCCAAATCTTTTTCTCCTAAATGCTCTAACAGGATGCTATCTGAACACACAGCATTTTACACTCTTTTTGATGCATTCCTTGGTATATAACATTTAGTAATGCAACTGCCCCAGGCTCCCTCACTGAGCAAAATATGGGAAGAGAGAAACTTCTGGAAGGTTCCCATCTTATATATATATTCAAATATGACATTTTGTTGTTTCTAATTTTGGTTTCAGGCTTATTATTCAGCACCTTAGTACTGATTTCAGCATTAACAAAAAGTTTGTTTGTCATATGCAGAACTTGAATGTCCAGTATATTAATTTTATAGCCTTTTTGGTGTTTAGGTTGGGCTATAGCCATTGGGTTTGTCATTTTAACAAATATATACATTAAGCTACAGAGATATCTCAGGTTGTATGTGATCAGTCTTCTGTGAATGAGTCTAGAATGAGGAAGGGTTTTTTTTTTTTTTGAGAAATTATTTATTTTAGATTGCTGAAAGAGATCATTATCAACAGGGAGGGAGTGAAACGGTATTTCCAAAACACGCAGGTAAGGCCTTTCTACTGAGATTCATGATAATTTTAGGTACGTGGAAATAAAGTTTTCCTCTTTATTTAAAAGCGTACTCTGCAAACTTACAGTTATGGAAAAAAGGCTGACTTTGAATAAGTAAGCTATGATGGATTTAAATAATGTTTAAATATTAGATGGAAAGGAAAATGTATATGGCATGCACACACTGAGAGGTTTAAATGATGATAGGACATTGAACATACAAGGAAAAGAAATACTGTAGAGTCACAGCAAGGGATTAATAACAATACACTTAATATGCTTGCAAAAAAGGTGTATTAAAAGCTGTGTGCACAGTGGGGACTTAAATGATTAAAAATAATAATACATTTGCCTGGGAAGTACTAAGTATACTATATGTAGAGAGCAGGGATTTAAATAATAATACTATTAATAATAGCAGCTCATTGAGATGTGGTTGCTGGCACTACATCCTAATTTTACCTTTCCAAATGAATTTGCTACAGAGAAATCTAGCATTGTTTGCAGGGGCTAATAACAGAATTTCCCTCTCCTACACACATATGCTTCCATGGAAAAACAACAAAGAAATAGATGAAGAGCTGGCTTTTTTTTTTCCTGAATCTGTCACATGTGTGCATACGCCACGCACACGCGGGCACACACGTACTCGCTCTCCTGGCCTGCAACCCTCAGCACATTTTACAGATATGCTCCCTACTTAATTGCTATGCTGGAATCTCTTAATACCTTTTTGAATTGTTAGATTTCTTCCAAGCAATAGTTTGCTCATATATATGTATATATATACACACACACACACACATATATACACACACCCATACCTCCATACACACACGCACATGTGTGTGTGTGTATATTTAATAAGTGGATAAGAGTAACTGCTGTGTCATGTAAATACAAATAATTATAGTGGTTCAAGGAAAAGTTTGCAGTAATGTTTGCAGATATTATATATATTCCCCCTCTTGTCTGCGGAGTAAAGAAATTCCACTGCTGAATAGCTGTTAGTATCTATTTTACAAGATTTACTCATTTTCAGGTACCTAATGTAGCTGCTAGCATGCATGCACAACAATACAATTTATATGGTAAATGGAACCAAATAATGGCTTCACTGAATGTTATGGCTGCACTGAAGGGAAATGTCACGGTAAATAGCTGCCAAATTATGGATCATGCCGAAGTGTCACAACTGCACTAAAGACAAATAGCACTAGAGGCTATTGCCACTGTGACGCTTCTGAGTTATGAAGAAGAGGAGCAGCCTGATGTGAGCCTCTTTGTGTCCTCATTATAGCAAAGGGTTACTGGTGCAGCGTACAAGAAAACCTAGTCCTACGTGGTGGTTAGTTATTAATCTGTCCTTTACAGATCTAACAGCTGTAGCACAACACAGAATCTTTTCTGTGCTTTATAAATACATATACATACACAAACAAAGGAAAACCTGCAGGTTTTATGAATGTAAATGTGTACGGGAAATGACTGGTAATGGAAAAATGTTGTAATAAAATAATCTAATCAAAGAATATTATTAAATTTAACATCATATGTGTCTGAAAGCTTTAGTTGCTCCTTATGCAGATAGATGTGTGAAATATAAGCAATAATGCACTTTCTCTCTTTACAAAGACTTGAGTAGTAAGGACATTACCAACTAAATTGCTTCTTCTAAACTGAAGTGTGTCCCGGTTTCTTTCATTTTAATGGGAGGGTAATAAAGATGAAAGACTAACATTTTAACTGATGGATCCCTTAAGCTACAGAATCAAAATTTATTATGTTTTGAGGGAATATGCTAAATCCTGAAATGTGGAAAGAAGCAGGGAAATCCCAGGTAAAATAAAAGCAAACTACCCCCCCCACACACACACAGCATATGACATACTTTTATAAATGGAAAACTATTTACTGCTCTTATTTAAGGTGAAAAACAAATTGAAAAAAAAAAAAAGGGGTGGGGGGTATTTGAAGGGAAAGAAAAAAAAAAAAAGATTTGAAAATGGAGGGCCATAGCTCAGCAAGTGGTCCGGTTTTTCTAGGATCACTTTTCAAACCCTGCCTGTAACGTTCAGGGAAGTGAGTTTGATGCTCTGCACACTATTATACCAACCACAAACGTACCATCCATAATACAGCGCAATTGTCAGTCTCTGTTTTACAGAGGGGGCCAGGACTGAACAATCATGGTGGATAAATTACTTTTCTATTCTACAGCAAGTGGCCTTCCTACCATGTGAGGCTTAAGGTCATTGGCAGGGCAGTGAGGGGGAAGCTTATATATTAGTTAACTCTAATGCACTAATAGTGCTCAGATAGAGGAACTATATCAATTAATTACAGCTAGGTTTAGTCTTTGAGAGGGAGAAGAACACTTTAAGAGTTACTGTGTTGATTTATATATATTTCTATATACTTTGCCTTCTTGCTATTTCCTCCCCGCACCGAAAATAATAAATCGATATCCCTATGGGTCACTTGTTTCTTTTTTAATATCTGCATTAAAGCTTTCAATATTTATCATCGCGAAAGTCCACATCTCAGAAATAAAAGACTCTAAAAAGATGTTTAATGTATAGCAATAACACATGCTGCTTAGAATTTTTTTACATTGCAGGCTAAAGGGGGTGGGGGGTAGGGCGAAATACCTGTCAAAAACTGGGTAGGACATCTTTGAGTGGCAATTAGCATATCCAGAATTTATTTTATGTACAATGCAGGGGCAAGTAGCTGCTTCTTATTAAATGAAAATCCTGTATTATGTACTTCAGGAACATTCCAACTAATGAGTATGTAATGTCCTTAGTATAACACAGAACTTCTTTTTGTGTTCACAACCACAAGATGCTGGAAACTTGACAAATGATATCATTTAAGACAGATGCCTGCCTTAGGGACCTGTTTTTTGGCTTCCTGTTTCTGGTTTTTATTTCAATAACATTTGTAATTGCCACAGGATCTGTACCTGTGTAGTGTTTTAACCCCTTCACATACGCTCCATTGCATTAATTCCTTGGGTAGGTACTCAGTCTTCCCCCCCCACACACCCCTTCAGCGGGTCTGTTGCTGCAGTCTCTCAAAAGCAGAGATATACACATAAATAAAAGCTGAGCTTTTTTAG